CCCGGTAAATATCGTACAGTCCCTAACCTGTATTTGCAGGAACACCCTGTACTACATATTTCCCACCATCTACTACCTGAGCTCGGGAGGGCGCGAGTTCCTCCGTGTGTGTGACTTTGTTCACGACACGGCAAATTCAGTCATCAGGCGAAGGAGGGAAGAACTGGTTAGTTCATGGTCAAGTTTGATCCATTAAAGGCCTGTACATGTAGATTCAACTCACTATTATTTTCTATTTGCTATCATTAATGCGTCAAGGATGATTTTTATACAGTGTGTAGTTTGTTTGTGTGTACGGTGTATGTGTGTGTATGTGTGTGTGTGTGTACGGTGTATGTGTGTGTATGTGTGTGTGTGTGTGTGTGTACGGTGTGTGTGTGTGTGTGTGTGTGTGTGTGTACGGTGTGTGTGTGTGTGTGTTTGTGTGTGTGTACGGTGTGTGTGTGTTTGTGTGTGTGTGTGTGTACGGTGTATGTGTGTGTGTGTGTGTGTGTGTGTGTACGGTGTATGTGTGTGTGTGCATGTGTGTGTGCGTGTGTGTGTGTGTGTACGGTGTATGTGTGTGTGTGTTTGTGTGTGTGTGCATGTACGGTGTATGTGTGTGTGTGTGTACGGTGTATGTGTGTGTGTGTTTGTGTGTGTGTGTGTGTGCGGTGTATGTGTGTGTGTGTGTGTACGGTGTATGTGTGTGTGTGTGTGTGTGTGTGTGTGTGTGTGTGTGTACGTGTATGTGTGTGTGTGTGTGTGTGTGTACAGTGTATGTGTGTGTGTGTTTGTGTGTGTGTGTGTGTACGGTGTATGTGTGTGTGTGTGTGTGTGTGTACGGTGTATGTGTGTGTGTGTGTGTGTGTTTCCATAGATTCGTGGTCAGCATAATTTAAGAACAAGGCATGCATCTAATGATGTTTAGTATGTAGGTAGGTCTGGGGAAGATGAAGGTTAAGTTCAATTATCATGTGTTTGACTTTATTGCTGACTTGTTTTCTTATTAAAAAAATGATCTGTCCATCTATGATGTAATATGAAAAGTAGATCAAAAGTACAACATCTTTGTCTATCATTACTTTGAATTGTTATACATCAATTGTTGTGTTAGGAACGGGATCCTGAGATCTTAGCGGAGAAGAAGAGGCTGGATTTTATCGACATTTTGCTGACGGCGCGAGACGAGGATGGGCGAGGGATGACAGATGAGGAGATCAGGGAGCAGGTGGACACCTTCCTGTTTGCAGGTAATTTTTGTCATGATGTAAAGGAAATTTTTAAAGCCTATATAGTAAGACTAATAATTGTTCAATCACTCACTTACTCACTGCGTCAAGCTTGTTCGAAGTCTCCCCATGACTGTCTGTTTCCATTTCTCTCTTACTATCTTTCATCGCAGCAGGCTTGTAATTTAAATGTCTTCCACGACCTCTCTTTTCATGACTCGGGTTCCACAGTAAGAGTTTGTGTGTTACCTCATCATTTTTCCTCCAAAAGTGGCCTGCAAAACGTAGTCTCCTTTGCCATATTGTTTCAGCAGTCGGCGGTATGTTTTTGTACAGTTTGAAATTCTTTGTGTCCATGAGATGTTCAAGACAAGACCATGTTGATTTTATTATATGGATGATGATTCCTTTGGAATTTAACCCAAAATCAGATGGTTTTCCAGTTACTGGTTAAAGCATTTTAAAAAAACCCTGTTGATGGGAAAAAATTGAGATTTTTTTTCTTTGACTTACAAAGCATGTTGGCTGAATGTACTGCACCTCAGCGAGACCCAAATTTGTCACTGAGTTTTTACCTCCATGAAATGGAAGGTATTGTTTTTGGCGCGTCTGTGTGCGTGTGTGTGTGTGTGTGTGTGTGTG